TCTCTCTCTCTCTCTCTCTCTCTCTCTCTGCAATTTCTTAAACCTTTTTCTGTCGATCAGAGTCGAATGGTGGCTGCACGTGCAGCTCCTCCAATTCCCTGAAGGTCTCAGTAACAAAAAGGAAACAATCTCGTAGCGAATACGAATCCGATCTTGTGTGGTTTTGACCCTTTGTGACCCCATCCTTGGTTGATCGGCGACACTTTCGCTAGATCTAGTTGTCCGAAAAGGTTTAATTAAGCAATCTTCCATTTGTCTGTTGATCAACATTAAATCGTGTCGCAACGCCTCTTCGACTTAGCCTACACTGGCGATGAGAATTCCAATGGCGCAGTTGCGCTCCTCATTGCCCGAACTTGGCATCTAGAATCTAGTCTGCGGTGTCTGGTGGTATGGGACTTGCAGCTTCAGCCCCACCTGGATTTTTTTTTCAATAAAAAGTTTACTTCTGCTGACAAAAATAGTGTTTAACGAACGTGTTGAAAAAGGAAGAAAATACCCCCCCCAAAAAAAAGCGTCACACGACGATAAGACCCAAACAAAATTTAGAGGCACAGATATAAGTCGAAAAGCTATACAATTGGTCAGGGTAAGGCCTTCTCGGGAACTGAGAAAGCCTAGGTCAGGGTGTATAGGCCTACTATCAATTACTACGACTAAAACTCTATCCAAAACAGACGCTCCTTCTGTTGATGAGGAGAATGAAATTTCATTGGTTTGGTCTTGAAGCCGCGGTGGTTATGTTCCCACTAACTGAACTGAGAAGATCTAGGGGGAGGCCTATGGCCTTGCGTGGGTCAAGGCCGAGGCAAATAGATACCTAGTTTTGCTAGCGGTCGGGGCTTCAGCCGTGCGTCCCAGCATTGTGTGACGTCATAAGCCTAGGAATCGCTTGACACCTAATTTTGCACACTCTCACGGTTCCAACTCAAGGCGTAGATCGACTAAGCAACCCCCCCCTTGTTTTCCCCTGTAGCTGTGTTTTGTTGGTACTGTTACGGTATCACTGGAGTTAAAGTGTGTGTGTACACGAGTTAGAGTGTGTGTGTACACCTAAAATGTAGTTTTGGGCAGGTTAACAGGCCCTGATGTCTTGAGTAGGCCTACTGTATACGTACCTGCGCTGTCTGTGTATCGAGATCGGAGGTAAAATACTGAAATAAGTACCTCTGTGTTGAATCAGTGAATTGAGTTATTTATTATTATTTTTTTAAAATATTAGAATGCATTTGTTCCTTACTGAAGCAATGAATCGTGGATGAATAGGCATATTTATTGGAAACTCGCTTTGGTTCTGTATCACGTGAAAATATGCATCACTGTCATAGGCCGGGATATCAAACCAACCATCATAATTTTAGCTTTCTGTTGGGGCTGGAAATCAAAAGTATATTACTTTTATAAATGATTTGCAGTTCAACCAAAGAATCATCGGCAAGTTTTCCAACCGAAAAACTGAAGAGTGAAGAAAAGCCAAATCCAAGTACAAATAGATGCACGAGTTGATCTATTTTCCTGGTTTCAAATGTGTAATCGCCACTATAATAAGTTCACTATACATTCGTTTGATTCTGAATTTTCATGTATTTTAATAATATAATATATATGTTTGCCTGTCTTTTCAGTATCCGTGTATCCTTCATAATCCGTGCGAGCTCGGTCACGGCAAGCCCTCATGACGGCCTGACGGTATTCTCTTTAATTACAGCCCACCTGACGACACTGCAAAGAGATAAGGGAGTTAAATAAAGAGATCAATTTAAGGAACTGAACGCGTTTTCTTTCTAACAACATTTAAGTGGTAGTGATGTGTAAAGCAAATCCGGTTGATGTATTGAAAAAAGAAAGAAAGAACATTATAATTTAAACTGTTGTGCATGTCACAAAATGAGAGATGGCAACATCTTAATAAGCAACAACAATATCAACAAAAAAGTTCATTTTTTTATGCCAGGTGATGGACAATTTAAGCTCTCATAGTAATGAACTTTTCTCCAAATACGGGACTTGTATAAAACGCTATGTGCATTTGAAAATTAAAGCGTTTTTAACAGTGTTGTGTATATATAGGCCTATATATATACACACACAAGGATGATTACCCATCTCCCCTTCAACAGAAAAATTAATTAATCCCCTTTCCATTCGTCTTCCCTTCTCTTCGATTCCCCACAACATCTACAATCAACACAACACCGCTATCACTTGACCATCATTAGGCGCACCACTGCCACAGTCGATACCGACGTTAGTAATTTGATCTTGCTAGAGCCTTCCATCTTTTTTCATCAATCATTATCAGCTACTTCATCATTTTGGGCTTCCACTTCATCAGCAAACCATCAGCAAACACACACACACACACACACACACACACACAAACACACACACGCGCGCGCGGATGCTCCACACACACACATACACACACACACATACACAAACACACACACGCGCGCTGGTGCTTCATATCATTCACTCAGACGTGCACTCCATCTGCAAACATAC